AGAAGTGGGGCAGGCCAGCTGAGAACCTGCTGCCCCAGCGAAGCGGCAAGAGACAAGAACACATATGAGCTAAGTCTCCAAGCTCCTCACATATGTCCCACTGGACTTCATTTACAAAACATAAATTCAAAAATAAAATTATTAAGAATTTCAAGATGATGACTGTGGAACCTGAGACCCCATGTTCAGGGCCCTTCAGAGCACAGAGCCCTGTGTAACTGCACTGGCCACATGCCATGAAATTGGCCCTGCTGAAACCCAGGTCCTGCCTCCATGTAATCTATTTTTATTAGTTTATTGTGCATCAGAATTTTTATTCTCTCGGTGACTCTCATTTTCAGTAGAAATTGAGAACCTCGGCCCTTGACAACATTAAGTGTGTGTGTGTATCAGTTATATATCACATGTGTGTAATGGTGTATGGCTGGTGACCTCTGAGTTGGGGGAGAAAAAGATGTAATGTTGAGGGACACTTAAAACAACTGAAAATAATAATAATAATGTTCTGTATCTTACATGAAATGTCAGATACCACTATTCTTCACCATTGTTTTTATATTATAATTTTCTTTGGTAACTATTAATCACTTTTTAAAAATATCTTTTAAAATGGCAATGTAAAGTATCTAGTTGAAGAAGAATGGTTGACTATTCAAGAAACAGTGACAAAATTTCCCCTTTATATAACCCAGATAAACATAACAAGGTCAAGATCTGAGCCCAAGACCATTATGATACACCAGGTCATTGCTTTGCCATAAGAGACCATTAATTCAGGAGCATTGTAAGAGATATGCAGATTCATGAATCCTCACATATCAGTACAAACTTCTGATACAGACAACAAAAGTGACATTTATTAGTACTAAAAGAAGCAGATATCTTAGGAAAAGCATATGAATAGGTAGAAAGAAATAGAATATTTCCAACAAACTACTCAAAAATGTTCAGCATCATTTATAATAAAAGTACAAATTAAAGTAAGATTTTTCTCACTAAGTATGTAATTTAAACAAACTTTTTTCTAGTTTCTACCAAATTAAAAAATCTTCCTGTTCAAAATCAATTCCATGGAAATGCCAGCTAAAATGGGAAATAACATTGTAATAATGTCTATAATAAAAATCACATTCAACTAAATGTCCACATTAATAGATTAGTTTAAAAAACTACATATAAATAGTAGGATACTATGCAGCCTTTAAAAAAGAATAAAGCCATCATACATACATATATGTACATACTTACAAGTGTGTCTACCATATATGTTTAAGTTAAAAGGCAAGCTTAAAGTAGCATGTATCGTTTTATTCCATTAAAAAATATATGTGTATATATTTTTTAATGGAATAAAATATATGTGTTAGGGTAAGGAAGGCATCTGTTTGGGTATATATGAGGTATTAGAACTATGTATGTACTACAAGTAAAAAACAATTTTTTGAAAGAATGTACACCAACCTTCTTTATGTTGACACCCTCTAGAGAATGAGATTGAGAGATAAATTTAATTTATTTTTATTTCTGCATTCTTTAAGTTTTGTTTGAGCATGTACCACAATTGTATTGCTATGCTTTCCACTCCTTGTAGGATTTGATAAAAATAGGTAGTCTCTTTTTATTTGTATTTTTTAAAATAACTCTTCAAAAAGCAGAAGCTGAGTCTTTAGGGGAAGAATGGGGCTATTTCCAAATCGCTTTTAGATGACTACAATTGGCATTAAAAAAAAGACAACTTCGAGAAAGGTGAAAACATTCCTGTCAGTACACTGTATACTCACACCTGTGTGCTGGATCCTTCAGGGTAACTGAGAAACACAATAGTAATTTTTTCTTTTTTTTTCATTTCTGTGGTCCTCTCTGCATTAACCAATTTTTCTCTCTTCCATGTTTCTCATCTATCAGCTCTAACTGTCACAAGTTTTCTCTGTGCGGCACGATACTAGGAAAAAAGTAAGTCTGTATGGATCCACAGGTTAGTAGTTAAGTGGAAGTTGGCGGATGAATATAGTTTATTCAGGATGCTCCTTTGCCTGAGTCTGGTCCTGCAGGGCAGGCGGGCTCTTCAGCACACTTTCAAAGCTTAATTCTGTTACCAGAACGAGGAGGTTCTGCCTGATTGTATTGAAGGGACACAAGCTTACTGTCTGTCTATCATTTCATAGGTAGGAGGACGTAGTGGGCTGTGAGTCAGCCGGCCAGGGTATATGACCCTGAGCAAGCCATTTAATCTCTCAGCTTCCTTTATCTCGTGTGTGAAACTGAGAAATTAATAACATCTAGCTCATGGAATTGTTGAGATTAACTGAGAAAATGTGACCAAAAATAATGCTTAATAAACTCTATATTTAAAGTTATAAGACTCTGACTTGAATACATCCAGATGAATTTATATTTCGAGCAAGTATTTTTCAAACTTCAGAGAGAAGTTAATGAGTTATAAAACTCATTTAGTGGGTAGTAGTCAACACTGAAAAGAATTAATGGAATAGAATAATAGAATTTGGAAAAAAAAAAAAAAACAGAAGACATTGCACATGGAAAGTTAACGCAAAATGCATTGCTTACTGTGGTTCGAGGTCAAATAAGTTTGAAAAAAAAAAAATGCTTCTAAACCAAACAAACGGGACAAACTGAAACCTTTCCCTAACTGTCCTCTCAATTCTACTCAGTTCTGCCTCTTTCAACTAAAGCGAGCAGAAACTAAAAGGGCTTTGGAAACATGCTGTAATGATGGATCTTTTTGATAATGCCTGCGCGTGCTGGGGTGATGTGAGAAGTCAGGAGGCAGTGGTAAGAGAGACAGTTCATTCAAACATGTGCTTGTGTTACTTCCCAATATATGAGGCAGGGCATAAAGATTTGTTAGAACTAGCCAGGCCTCAGGATTTCGTTCTTGTTTTTGCTTGAAACTCTTATTTACTCAAGTACCTAGACTGTGACAGAAGGCCTTTCAGAGTCCTTTAATTCTATTAACCTGTCACTTGCAATTCCTGCTTTTAGTGGGTAATGTTTGAAAATAAAATCTCATAAAGTTTAGTCTTACTAGGTGAGTAAAGAAATAGTTTTGAATTTTCATTTTTCTAAAACATGTAGTACTTCAATGTTTATGGATTTTTAAATGTCATTTCTATTTCTCTACAAATATTTTTTTGTTCTGTAAAAGTTATAGTAGCCAAACATAATGAAAGTAAGATATTAAAATGATTAAAAACACATGGAAGAAAACCAGGCTTGGAACTAGAATAGGTTTCTGGGACTGACACTTTAAAGAACTTATGCCCAAGGAACTGAGTTGTCACTAACGTGTAGGATCTACATTTTTTTTTCTAGATACTATTTAATATGGAGGAAGCACTTATAAATAACCGTGATAATGTAACTGTATACATTGTCATTGGTTTAAATTATTTTAATTGGTATTTCATTCTGCAATATTGTGAGACATTTGTTATAAGAACCTTTACTTCCAACAAAATTAACCATCTAATGTTAATTACAGAGGAAGATTATTTAGAAAATGACTCAACATATATAGTGCTGCAATTTTCCTCATGATATCATTTCAAGTGAAATATATCTGTAGTGACAATTATAAAAATTGTAGAAATTCCACAGAGAACTCATTTGGAATAAAAACCATACTAACTGAGTTGTATATTTATTATATAGTACACAACAAATCACAATTATAATTACATTGGCTAATGTGTATCTTTTTAGTATCTGATGATAAATAGAAAAAATAAAAATATGTATATCTGTATGTAATTAGCTAGGTATAGGTACAGATATCTCTCAAATATTTTTCATAAATATAAAGGTTTGATTTGCAATGAAACATTAAACCCCTATTATTTCCTCCTGGGAATGGTATTTGATGGTTTGGTGATTATAACAAGAAGTCTAGGTGCCTGGAGATGTTTTGAAATTCAGATTGTTGCATGGACTAACCCTGAAGATGGATAATGGAGACATCTTGAATTAGTATGTGATCACATCCTTAGGTTCTTTCTATGATTCATAGACAAATCCCTCTCAACTACTTATTCACTTTATGACTTATATCACTTTATTTGAAGTCCTAAATCTTGATTTTCTTCTAAAATAGAGTAAACAATAACTTTAGAAAATGTGGTTTTCATCTTATCATTACAGGTAGATCAGCAGACATATTAGAGACCAAGAAGAGAAAAAAATAAATCCCAGAGTAAAATATGTTTTACATTGGTTGAGACAGCCATATAATAGATTATTAAATTAACGATCCCATGATGAATCCAATCTTAAATATACACGTCTTTGTATAGTCCCCTCTCACAGTAACACTGAGCTTGGCTATATGACTTGTTTTGTCCAGCAAGATATTAGCAAATGTGATAGAAGCAGACATTTGATAAGTACTTAGCCAGTAGAAATGTTGCCTTTACCACATGAATCCCAGGGTCTACTGCTAAAGAGGTCAGATAGAAGAGAACCATGCATCCCAGCCACCAGTGCTTACTCAATACCATCTTGGACTGTCTGGCCTCAGCTGAGCCACTAAATGACTGTAGATACATGAGTGACCCTAGATAAGACTATCAGAAGAACCACCCAACTGAGCCACGCCCAATTTGCAGAATTATGAGCAAATAAGCAGTCATTTCAAGTCTCTAAGTTTTTTGGGGGGTCCTGTTACTTATAATAGATACCTGATATATTCAGTTATCAGGTAGGATAAACCTTTTTTGCTGTTGATATTGAAAGCAATAAATAATAACTAGGAATGACTAATCCTATAAATGAAAAAATGTACCACTTGCAGATGAAAGAGTAAAACACACAATGCCCAAAACATAATCAGAAGATAGAATTTAAAATGGAAGAGCAAACACAAAATTGTCTTTGTAGACAAATTTTCTGTGCTGGGTTATTACTTTGTGCCGAATAGACAAAGACAAGAAAAAAAAAAAATATATATATATATATATATAATTTACCGAATATATATAACTTACTGAAACATGATCTTCTATGAAGCATATACTGAAAAATCTTGCACAAAGATTCTTCACTTTGTGTAATGGTTCTACAGGTGCACTGCACTTGAAGAACTGTCCCAAGGGTACCAATGTAAGCTGCTTTGCAGGCATCACTTCCTGAGCAAATGAGATCCTGCTTGCTTAAAGTACTGATGCAAGTCTCATCTTCATGGCACTTTCTAGTCACATGCTGCCAGCATTTTGACTGAAATGTTCTATAGCGCCTCCTAGAAAGAGTCGGGAAATGGAATTAACCTCTGAGTAATTATTTCACATTAACATGTAGTGCTTCCTCACCGAATGAAAGCATAACATACAACAAAATGACTCCTAGGTGCTAGTACATAGATGAAAATTAAGTTCCTACTTTCAAACTTCCCAATAGAGAGCGTAGAAGAAAAAGTTGAGAAACCTTGTGAATTACTTTCCTCTTGTGATGAAAGACAGAGGTTAAGTTTATGATTCCCTGGATGAATTTTCCTTCATTACTAATTTTGTTCCAATGGCTGATGATTTGCAGTATGAACTACTTGGGAGATTTATTAGGAGTATTTTTTTGAAGCAGAATGTGGTTTTGTGACTAGCCTTTGGCCATTGTCTCACACCAAGTGATTTCATATAAGGTTCTTGACTTTTCAAGCCAGTTTCCCACAGAGTGGGAGGTACCATACTCTTTCTCAACATTTCTAAGCAGACTAATTAGAATTTTAAAAATGCTTTCAGCTTCTTTGGCAGCAAGAGTTTTCTTTTTCTTTTTTTTAAGTAAAACATTATGAGTTTATTTAATGGCTAAGATTATCCATTAGAACTACATTCATTCATATAACTTTTCTATGTATTTGATTTTTGTTTTACTAGCTGAATAAGTTTCAATAATGTTATTTTTAAAACTTTCACAGTTAGAAGATATTGTTCTCAGTGGAACCAATGATATTAATTTTTCTCCTTAATATTTATCACTTAAAATTATCTTTTCTTGAATGGGTCACCATCAAACATGTATGAAAACCCTCTGAATACATGACACTTGTTATGAGTTTATTTATCCACATGGTGCTTAAATCTATAAATGACATTATATTTAATAATGTCATATTTTAAGTCATCTTAACAGAATCAGTCTTTTAATACATTGGCAAAAATTAATTTATATTTAAAGAAATACAATTTTTGATCACATAATTTTGAGGTCAGAACAAATACGTCCTTTAATGCCATTAAGGGTTATATATAAGATGTTATCTAAATGCAAGTATTGACAGCATTATCATTTATAAGCAGATAAAAAATAAATTTGTACCTAGGTGCCATTTATTTCTTTTAATATGTGTTTTACTAAGTTTAAGTTGCATGCTTTATCTACTTATGGAAGTTATTCATTCAGGAAATTAATTGTGAAATTTTGCAAAAATAATGAATTAATGGATACTTAATTCGATATTAAAAAAAAAAATCTTTCATACACTAGTTACCTAAATTATTTGGAAGAAATTTTTAAATGTGGCAAAAAATTATATATTTAAAAAATTTTATTTTAGGTTTGAAATGTTTTGATATATGGTGTTTCATTATCTTTATTTTCTTATTATGCTACAATTTTATATTTTGGTTTATTGTTCAAACAATTAAGTGTTTAAAAGCAACTTTAAAATGGAGTTGATTATTTTGTTTTATTATTGCTATTGATTTCTAGAACATTGCAAAATAAAAGAGTATATGGTCCGTGTAACTTCTGTACACAGAATATATTACATTTGCCTTTGTTACCTAGTATATAGCCAACTTTTGTAAATGATCCATGGCACCTAAATGTATATATTGTTGAGTTTTGCTTTTGAAAATAATTAGAATTTTTCTAAGTAAATACCTTTTTTTATTACTTTATTGAGTTCATACATATAAAATTATAATGTGTTATAATTTTCTGTAAGTTCCTAAATATTTATAATTGGCAAACCTCATTTCCAAGTGTTTACCTGTATTAGATGAAATTAATTTAAAAATAGTCTTTATATTGCTTTCTTTGACCTTTTCAAATAAATAAAAGAGTTTCAAAATCTGTCATGAACTGAAGAATCTGGAACAGGGACAGAAGTTATATAGTCAAACCCAAGGGCTCTCCTTTGTCTGTGTACAGGCTCTTCAGCAAAAAAAGGTAAGTAATAAAGGAGTTAACATCCTAACTGAAGAAGTGGTTATTCTTTTGGAAACTTTTTTCCATCTGAATTACATTAACAATAATTTAATGTAAAAGCTAGAACTCTCCCTGAGGCAAAATTTGCTTGAGAAAATGACAGGATTTGTCTTTTCACCTTGACTACTAATATTGTATAATATTTCCATCACTTCTATAAAGTATTCATTAAGGGACTATTTATAAATGGTGAAAAAAAAATTGAAGACACACAGTCCTTACTCTCTAAATCCATCTATGAAAGACGGAGATTATGTAAGAGGAGACATGTATATATACGTTAACAAATTATAAAAATTAAGAATAAAGTATTCAAAAGTAGAGGAAAATGATATGACAACTTTTGAGCACCTACTGTGTTCCAGACCCTGCACCAAGCACTTTGGAGAGGTGATTAAACCCAAGAGTCCCTGTGGAGGCAAATTACCAACAATATGCCAGACAATCTGAGAAGGTATTGATGCCAATGTGAGTATATTTCAAGAATGTGTGCTTCAGAATCCATCACGAGGCTTCTCAAGAAGTATACAGCAGATTCTATCACTAATGATTAAAATTTAATTTGATAGAAAAGCTTAGACATATAAAACTTTGAAGGTTGAATATGCAAATAATTTTAGGATAATGAGGTAGCATATCTAGGGCCCTAAAATCAGGAAAAGCTGGATGCCCATTCACACAGACATCTGTATTTTTACAGGGTTTGATTTAAACAAACAAACGAAAAGGTGTCTCCTGGCTGGTTAAAATGTTAGGTTTCCTTGTTAATGTAGATAGGTGATAGACAGGTAGATGATAATATTCTATTTATAACCTGAGGAAAATAGTGTAAACAAACATTTTAATATTTTATTGATTATAGGAGATATCATTATTGTATTAAAATTAAAATCACCTATTGGCAATTAATTATTATTATAATTTAATAAATTTTTTTATTGAGCTTAAGACTCATCACAAATATGTTAGTGACATTAAAATGTGTGGAAATTTGCAACTTAGAATCGATGAAATATAATATTTTACTAAAACATATTTTTGGAATATATAAATTTGAAAAATCAAGTAATTAATAAACCATAAAATAACTGATAAACATGTACATGACAGAATCCTCAAATAAAACTTAATCTTAAGAATTTTGGCATTTTATGCAATAAGTTGAAGCAAAAAATGTCAGCGTCCTAGCACTCTGTTTAGATTTTTATCTTTTATCTTATAGAATGTGTGTTATAAGGAAGTATTATCTTTTTTCAACAAATGTTTACAAACTTTGTACCTACATTATCAAGTGAGAGTAATTGAGAGTAAAGGAGTAAAGATAGTTGACAGTGAAAAGACCAAAAGAAAGCAGTTGACCAAGAACCAGCCTTTTCAGGAAGTTATCATTAAATCTTTTAGTTCATTTGCCAGGTATTAAAGCTGGGTGACAAATATAACAGATCTTGCTCTGAGCTGTCAAACTCTGACAGCTACTCCTTCATGCTAAATGTTTATTTAGATCTTTAAACAAATTTGCTATATATGGAGTTTCATTCGTTGAAACAAAATGAAACAGTTCCTGATAGAAGGTAGCAGGCAAACAAATTAATATAAAAAATTATTCAAAAAGGCAAAAAAAGAATTAAAAAATTATACAATTTAATACCGGTTGTTAAATCAAGCTCCTTCAACATGTAACATCAATGTCACAAATAGTTTTGATTCATCATATACACAGTATTCTCATTCTTTCCTCCATCTTTTATTCTTATCCAAAAAGGCACATTTAATATGGATTTCTTACCACACAAAACATAAATTCATCTTGAATATACAGGGAAATGTGATAATGAAGACCATAGTGAAGAAAAGAAAAAAACACAGTGTTGGAATATATTCCCAGGAGTAATTACCCGTAAAAGTACAGTCTAGTCTCAACTAGCAGCCAGAGTGGAAGTTTCAAGAAGTGAGCCAGACCATACTTCTCCTCAAAATCCTCCAGTACTTCTCCATTTCACTTGAAGCAAAAACCAAAGTCCTTAGTGTCCCTCAAGGCCCTCCATGATCTATGCCTGCCCATACCCCATCCAGTTAAATCTTTAACAACTTCTTTTGCTCTCCCCCTTGCACACTCTGTCCTCATTGCTTTTGTAAAATGCCACGCATGTTTTTTCCTCAGCACCAGCTGAGGAAATTGTCAGGATTTGTCTTTGAGACAAATACCATTTGTTTGGTATCTTTTTTGGATATTTACTGAGAGAGGCTCATTCCCTCACTTCTTTAAGTCTGGTAAAGTGCTCTCTACTGGGACCACCCCGTTTACATAGCAACTCTTTCTGTCCATACACAATACCCCTTATTATGTTTTATTGCCGTTTTTCTTATGGTTACTCTCCAGAGCACTCATTACCTTACAATATACATTTTTCTTATTTATTGTCTGTCTCTTCCACTAGAATATAAACTCCACATGGCAGGCATTTTTGTCTCTTGTACACCGATGTCTAGAGTAGTAGTAGGTACATAATTTATTTTTTGAACAAACAAATAAATGACTAACATAATTCCCCTTAGAATCAAGGGTGCAAGGTTGAGAAGAAGAGAATGGATTCAGTGCTGACATCATGACATAGGTGTGTGTTGGGGATATTCAAACTGCACTCAAGCTCATTTCTCCTTCTTGATACTCAGTCTAAGACAGAAAGAATTTATTCTGAAATTTGAAGAGTCACCTTGTCAAAATTCTATGATGTTTAACAGCCCTAGATGATCATACCAAAAAAGCAAATTTAAAAACTGACATACAAGCTATAGGTCTATTAACCAAATCTATTATTCTTTAGTGTAATTTAAATACATAATTTTAATAATGCTATTTCATGGCTACCAAATCCTGGCATACTGATTTTTTTTAATCCTAAAACATGTTCTGCATTTGAATTTCAAAAAAGATCCTACACATGTACTACAGATTCAAAAATATGAATTGTCTGGCTTTGTTTACATCACATTGTATAATGGTGGGAAATCTAGCTAATGTAATGAGATCAAGTGTTAGGACTGGACTGTAACAAATAAGGTGCCGAAATAAGAAAGTAAGGTATGTGTGTTTTTACTCACCTGCATAATTCATCATTTCGGCAGCTGTGAATTACATTGAGGCAAGTAGGGGGTGGAACTATGTTCACTGCACATGGCTTGCTGTGAAGAGCTTCTTTGGATTGCTGACAAGGTATATCAGATGGAGCACAGTCACAAAAAACCAACATCTGGGCAATGTTAAAAGGCATATTTTGATAGAAGAACCGTATGGCTGCTTGGCAGTGTTTCACATCACACAGATTTCCATTTGCTGAGCAAGCTTTAAGGTAAGGGGCCAATTGTGTATTACAGACTACATCCCCTACACACATCTCTGCCACTTCCAAACAGGACCAGATCCCTTTCATCCCTGAAAGCAATGACATCCCCAGGTCACGAAAATGTAAACATAAAGTTGAACTTACAGAATCTGCAAAACATGGTGAGAAGTCTATGAGCAAAATACAATAGCATAGCAATGGGCTATTTTGGGCAAACATTTGTTTTCTTTTCTTCTTCTTTGTTATTTTTTTTTTTTTGAGTTAATATGAATTTACTGAGATCTGAATAGTGGATTATTTGAATCATCTTTCATCTCAACTGGATATGTATTGTGATACAAAGGTGATGGGAAATGTGTAGGGCCAAAACTGAGCTGAAGAAAAAATTCTTTAGTCCAAGTTTCTCAACTATAAATAACAGATCTCCAGAAATTGCATTTGAGCTCTATAGCTTATGATGAATTCATCATTGCTAATCAAATAAAAATGACTCCTATTCCATTGTTCTTTTTCTTTTGGGGGAAAATCTTGACAAAAGTTTCCACATTGTTATTCCAACATATAAAGATACTCACATTCTAGAAAACACAAGTACATATACACAAACATATACACAAAAATAGTTGGCCTCAAACAATTTAATTTTTCTGATCAAAATATCCATGACATTTAACTAAGATCTAGTCTTTGGTTTTAATTGTAAAGTATTCCTCAGCATAAATGTAAATAGATGATGGATAGACAAAGCATTGCTTTGGTACATTAGTGAAGAAATGCAATAATTTTGTTGTATTTTATAATATTAGAACTATAAAAAGCCACACAATTTATTTTATATCAACATATCTTTAAGAAGCCTAGTAATTATATTCTAAATTATATTGGCCAATATTTATAATGTAGATCAAAATTATAATTTATAAACATTACCGTGATAGGGAAGAGTAGTTAAATTCCATATGAATTTATTATCTTCTTTCGAGTTATCTAGAAATAAAAGAGACTATTTCATTAGTGAACAATTTTCTAAATTTAATAGGAGAATGTGGGCTACATTTATAAATGAGAAATTAAGCAAAAATACATACAAGCTCATGTAATACTTATTTAACCCTTGATATTCAAAATTAGTGAGGTACAGATGAAGAAAAACAAACCCCAGAAATGTCATTCAAGTGAGTTAAACAGGCCTGCTCTGAGGATTCAGTTACTTGAAAGTTAAAACAAATGCTAACAAGTAGGCCATGTGTATTGAAATAAAGAATCTGTCTGGAGAGAAAAAAAAAATAGGAATATTGTCTGATTTAAAAAAAAAAAAAAAAAAACCCTCCTCTTCCCAGTAGTATCTTAATTAGATTGAAATGCAATATGAAGACTATTTCTACCTCTGTTTGTCTTACCCTTCCAGAGTTCTTAGAAATCAAAATAGAATTGGAGAATCTGTTAATGGAAGTGAACTCAGTGTGGCTATGCAATTCTAAAATATTTCATTCACAAAACATTGGTTAAGTCTCTCCTATGTAACAAATGTGATACTGAAGACACAAATCTGCGATCCCTGTCATTGAACATTCACAGCCTGGAAGAAAATATATACATATAAACAAAAGTAAAAAGAAAACATAAGGAGCACTGAAAGACGTGTGCATAAAGTTATAGGGGAGTGGTGCGATTTTTTTGTTTTAAAATAAAAATTCATTTGTTGTCATTGGCTATTGATTAAGATATTGACTTCTATTTTGGCATAAATGTCCCTTTATGATTCAATTGTCCTTACCTGAGCTAACTGTCTAAACTCCCTGTCCGCCCATCTACTTCATATAAATGGTGTTATAATCACAAGAAAATTATTTTTACCCCCAGGTGTGTCACAGCCTTTCAGACTCCTTGCATTATTCTAACTGTTATAACTATACATGATTTTTATTTTTCTACTAATGAAGTCTCAGCTCAAGAATTACTATCCCTTCTAGAGTCCACTATCCTGTATCTCTGAGGAATAAAATCCCAATAAGCAAATCTCGGAGAGTCATACAGCTTTTATAAGAGACACAAAAATCTAGGCTAGACCTTTTATTATAGATTAATACTTCTGCTTTGGAACTGATTAGTATGGCTGTGCTACTGACTAAAACATATTCAGGAGTCTCTCACTGAAACATAAATAAGCAATGAATTTACTTACCATTATGGACTGAATGTGTCCCTCCCAAATTCCTATGTTGAAACCCTAACTCCAAGTGTAGCTGTATTTGGAGATGATGTTTCTAAGGAAGTAATTAAGGTTAAATAAGGTCATAGGAGTGGGACTTTGCTCTAATAGGGTTAGTGTCATAATAAAAAGAGACATTAGAGACCTTAGTCACTTTTCTTCCTCCATGCACACACAACATGGAAATATGTGAGGAGGACATAGCAAGAAGCCAGGAAGTCTACAAGTCAGGGAGAGATCTCTCACAAGAAACTGACCTTGATGGACCTTGATGGACCTTGATCTGGAATTCTCAGCCTCCATAACTGAGAAAATAAATTCTTGTTGTTTAAGCCACAAGCCTGTGGTATTTTGTTATGTCAGCCCAAGTAGATTAATATGCTCACTATATGTATAATTATTACAAACACAACAAAATGGTTAAATTAGCATGGGAAAATAAATTCTATCTTGGATGTATACTGTTTTATATGCTATGAGAAATGTATTATAATAAATTCTCTGCTCTTAAATTCTAATTTTATATGGTACATATGTATGTGTATGGACATTTTTTCCCAGAGTAGATTTTAAACCATAGCTTAATTGCTGAAGAAGAAATAAAGGGCTATATATCATGGGAATAAATAGAAGCATACAACAATCAGGCTTAGATTTGAGTTCTAAGATCATATACGTAAAAACACATATTGTTCCCCTTTATTCATCCATTAATATCAAAATATATATAGAAGTCGATATCTTCTTACTCTGCTACCACTCTGATCCAAGACACCATGCTTTTCTCTATTGACCTCATCTAGTCACATGATCTTATTTAGCATCTATTGGTAAATGATCCCCCCATTTATATTTACTGCACAGATCTCATTTCCTCTATATGTCATACATGGAATTTAGATATCAATTACATACATAAAACTGCCTACTCAATAACTTCACTTGTATATCTAATAAACATTTCAGACTCAACACATCCAAAACTGACTTCTGACTTTTCCTCCGTTCCCCATCAAAGCCTCTTCTTCCTGTAGTTGTTCCCGTATTCATTAATTTAAAAATGACAGTCACATCATTCTCCTTACTTGAGACAAAAACCTTGGCGTCAACTTTGATTTCTTTTTTTTCCCTTGCATTTCCATTTGATCCACTAATATTAAAAAAAAATATCCAGAATCTGACAACTTCCCATACTGATCCATCATCCATTGTCTTTTTGCTCCATTATTATATAAATCCCTAACTGTTTCCCCACTTGGGCCTTTGTTTCTCTTTACTCAGTTATCAATGCAAAAACAAGAATTATCCTATTAAAGATATAAATCAGACCATGACACTCCCCTGGCCAAAATTCTTCATTGTTTTTCTATATCACTCAGAGTAGAGCCAATGATTTTGAAATGACCTACAAAGCCCTTCATGATCTTGTCCCCAGTTTTATATCAGATTTTATCTCCTACACTTCAGTTCCTTGCTCTCTTAACTCTAGCTTGTGGTCCTCTCTGCTTTTCCTCAGATCTACAGACATATTCCCAGCTCAGGACCTTTAATTAGCTGTTTCTTCTGTGTTAAGTTCTCTTTCCCCAGATATCCACATGCCTCATTCCCTGCCACTTTCAATCTTTACTCAAACAGTTATTTCTTCAGAGCAACTTTCTGTCCATCTTTAAAATTACAAACCACCCATTCAGATCTCTTTTTCCCCTACCTGTATTATATTTCTCATTAGCACTTATAATGTTTAAAATCCATACCTTAAAATAATTTATCCTGATTAATTTTCTTTGTCCCCATATTAGATGCTATGGCTCACTACTAAGGTCTCCTCAGGTACTAATTTCCCCAACTGCCGGGATTATTTTGGGTATTGGATCACACTGATCCTTTTCCTGGCATTGCTCTCATCCAAAGAAAGTTGCCACACCCAAGGTTACAGACTTTCCTAGGAGACAGCTCGTATCTAAGGACTAGCCCATGTTAGGGGTTCAAAGATCACGTCTCTTGCCTCTACGGGTGTGATATCCCTGAAAAGCCATTCCAGGTACAAGCTTTCTGTGGAATCAACTTAATTTACTGTGGCAATTAAATTGCATTTCGTCTTCTTCCTCCACCTCATCTTGTTTTTCTAACTTCCTCCTAGCTTTTGCTCCTGAGACCTTGGCCCAATACATTTTCTGCATGCCAACCTCTGTCTCAGTCTATTTCCAGGAAAACTGACTCAAGACACACCTCAATTTAAAACGGATGCTCCTGGAGAGCAGTGATTTTTGTTTGTTTTGCTTACTGCTTCAGCCTCACATCTTAGAAAATGCCCTGGGGCATGGTAAGCAAGCAAAAGAAATATCTATTAAATGAACAGATAATTATCATTACCGATTTTATCTATTTTTAAAAATCCCTTAAAAAATAATAAGCTCCTTCAATAAAGGGCACAAAGTTTTGTTTTTTCTTTGTTTTTTTTTTTAATTCTGCTGCACAGGACCTAGCTCATTGTAAATGTCTCATATGTAATTGTTCAATGAATGAATAAATGAATGAATGAATAAAATTAACATTATACTAAAACCTTTTCGCATTTGCTTCTTCACAATCTCTTTTGCATATAATCGTTGAGTTTTTAAATTTTAGTTTCCTAGGAGAAGTACAGGCAGAAATGACAGAGCTAGAATAGGAAATTAAATATTTTTTAGTTAACTCATATTTGTGATTATACTTAATGTTCCTAAAATCTTTTGAATACCAACCAGAAACAATATCCTGGTTGAATCCATCTTCATAGTCTTCACTGACAGCTGAAACTTGATTCATTTGATCATCCTGTATACAATTGTCTTCAAACAAACTTTTCCAAATTTCAATGCACTCTACTTTTGAAGGGTCATTGCACTGACAATTCCACAAGATCGTTTTTTTCAGACTTTCTTTTAATACTGCACACAGGTGGCCTCTATCAAAAGTCTTGCATTGTTCTGATTCCCTCCCACAGGTTTCCTTAAAATTCTCATACAACAGAGTACAATGTTCAGATTCCTGGCAGATACGTTCTGCTATGACACAGTCACTCTTTTTTTCAACCATTAGTGATGTATCTTTCTGATGGAGCCGTTGCGTAATATTTGATTGTGAAGATAAATCCAAGGACAGTGGTGATTTTTCTATGAATAAAGTAAAAGAACTGAATAAAAATTAATAAAATTCATTACTTATGAACTTTTAATATGTTTTCTAAAAAAGAATGACATATCTTTTATAAATATTTCAATATCTATTATCTTCTAAAAACATTAACAATTATTTCTAGAGAGCTATGACGAATAACCTTGAATTTTTAAAAACTGAGATGTAAAACACTGATTATTTATAGTTTGTGCAACTAAATAATAATAATAGTCACTTTTTTAGATGATATTTATCATCATCATTTTCTTTTGTCTTTTCATTACATTTTGATGATGGTTGATAGAAAACATATGTAACTTAAAGTACTGATAAAATAATCCATCATTTCTCTGGTATAAATTTTTATGAATTTCCGTTTTCTCCTAGAAATTTCCTATACTAAAGTATTTCTCAAACTTTTTTATTATTTCCCCCTTAACAAGCATTTTTAGACAGTTTTTTCTTAATTCCACTATCCCCTTGTGAAATTTGAATTCCACACATACACTGCTTAGGAACTGTATGTATATATGTATATTTGTGCTTTATACATAATAAAGAGTACGATTTGGGTGCGCTTACCCCCAAGTACCAATTTTTACGCCTTGGTTGTTAT